CCAAACCCACCCCACCCCGCCCCTTGACAATATGAGAAGTTTATAAATGTACTTTTTTAATTGTTATGCCGCTCACCAATGAACAAGGAATATAACACACAGATTTTAATTCATTACAAATAGTTTTGAAACATATTATCCAAATTGTCATAAAAGAGGGACGAAAGATACCAGAGGGACATTCATAGATCGAAAACAAACTGACATCGCCATGGCCAAAATAAAAAGACAAACAGACAAATAAAAGTACAGATGACACAACATAGAAAACTAAAGACTAAGCAACACGAACCCCACCAAAAACTTGGGGTGATCTCAGTTGCTCCGGAAGTAACTGATTTGTGATCTAATTATAAAATTTCTTTGTTTATCAAAACATATATTTGACCACACTTACGTTTAAAGGTAGAATTTTATGCATAACTAAGAATTTCCTGACTTGAAATAATTCGTTATTGTATTTGCTTGAAGCTGTGTCTATGTTGTCTGTGATAATTTAGTTTTGAGTGAGATGTATTTCATAAGTTTTCCGTATATTCTGCTCTTTACCTATTTTTGTTCATTGTTTGAGTTTAAAAACTAGGAAGGTATGATACCAAAATATTTCAAAATCAGCACATTTTCATGTAAATATGCCTGTTCTAAGCCATCCTGGGTCGATATTCATATCTTAATGTTTGTCCATTAAAAAATCGGAAATCAATGACAGACCTCTTTTCTATTTAATTCCTTGGCGTCGACATCTCTTTTGTACTAGGACTTATATAAAACCTACCATATGGTAAAGCAGCTGGTTCTTTTTAAACACAAAATGTTTGTGTTTACATTTTTTTGTTTTCACGTTGACGTTTTTGCTATTTTACTTTGTTGGAGTTGATTACTCTTATCCTTTGTTTTTCTATTGCAAATATTTTTTTAAATTGTAAAAATAAGTCGATGTTTCATTACTGCATTCTCAATTTTTATTAATATTTAAACCAATTAGTAGTTTTTTGTTTTGCACCTTTGATTTGACAAGAATTGCTTTGGCGTGTTCACTGTTGATATGATTACTTAAAAGCTCTTCACTATAAGTATAATCATAACTTTCATACCAAAAGAAATTGCATAGGGCATTATGTTCATTGTCATCAGTTTATTAACAATCAACAATCCAGTAGTCATCATTTCTATGTTAACATTAATTATCATTGATATGGTCATGCAAATTGAATGTTTACAATTTTTCGAATTAATAGGGATTTTCTTCCACAGGAAAAGATAACCTTAACTGTATTTGACAAAATCTTTCGGAATTGTTGGTCCTCAATGCTCTTCAACAACTACCACTATTAATTCGCTTTATTAGAGCATGTGTAATTACTTGAAATTGTTTGACATAAGAAGTTTTTTGCCATATGTTTGTGTATCAGAACAGTGACATTTTATTCCTACTAGGCAGTTGTCTTGAATTTCCAACTTTTTGTTTAGCCATCATGACTGCGTTGGTTGATATCTCCATCGATTATTATAAAGATGTCGTTTATCAGTCTTTATTTCAATTTATATGTATTCCAATGTTGAAACAATTTTTGCTAATATCAAAAAGGCTACAGGAGATTGGAACTCAAACAGTAATTTCTTCATACAGACACATTACAAAAAAATAGAAACCATTGTCATAGGATCATGTTATCTAAATGTAAATGGAACAATTATGTTGTTAACCTATAAAAAGGATAAACAAACAACTGTACAGAAAATGTCACTAGTATCGCCGATCTAAAATTAATTGTACATTTTGACTAAGTTTTGTACACGAATGCATGACTCTCCTTTACGTTGAAATTTAAACATACCATCGGTAAATTAAAATGTAAATTTATCGAATACTGTGACAATACTTTTGGTACTATTTCATGTTATAATTATCACTGGTCGATTTATGATTATGAAGTGTACCTCCGTTGAGTAACAACAATTCAGTAGCTCAGTACTTTAATTGGTACTATCCCCAAACAATGGATATTAATTTCAATGAAATTAACACTGATACAAATATGGCAAGGAATCAAAATCAGAGATTGCATTTTCCTCGTTCATAGACCAAAATGAGAAGATACCAAGGGGGCATTATAAAACCAAAAGTCCCTCCTCCCCCCTCCCCCCCTTCCCCCCCCCCCCCAAAAAAAAAAGAAAACACCTGGCAAAAAATTAAATCGATGAAAGGACAAAAGATAATAACAAACCATTAAGTAAAAAACTAACGACTGAGCAACACGAAACCGAGGGTGAACTAAAGTGCTCAGATAGACTAAGCGATTCCTGCTACACATGTGACAACCGTCGTTTTGCTGCAGCAAGTAAACACTCAGTAGTAAATTTAAGCCGCTTTCGATAATGTTACAATTGAGAAATAGTGGATGGAAGTGCGGTAACAACAAGAGGAACATATCCATAGACATTTGTGACACATCTATTCCATAACGGTCAACCAAACCATGCATGATGGCGTCCGTAAAACCTACCATGGGATTAATTCAAGTTTCACTTTAGGAGTCCGTAGTGCAATAGGTTCCTTGTATGCAGTATCCCTTTGTCAGTGAAATCGTAGCTCTTAGTTTTTCTACGGATTTGGCTGTACCTTTGGTTTTCTATTATATTATCGCCCCCATTTTTGTATAAGGTTTTGGGTTTAAAATCTTATCAAAGCAAATAACAATTCGTGCGCTTTCAACTATTATTCTGGTTTCAACGTTAACATAGTTTATCATGTTTCTATCTTATTTCTGATTACTCATAGACTAAAATATTTTGACAAAAATACAGAATTCCAAGGTCAATTTAAAAAGGGGGTTGTCCATAAAAATTGATAAAATCAAACATAAGACTCCATCAAACAATGGAACGAATGGAAAACAACTGTCATTTTCCTGACTTGGTACAGGCATGTTTCCGAAGAAAATGGTGGGTTTTTATAGCAAGCTAGAACTAAGGCAATCTTAATGATATATCTATTATCCCTCTAATTGGTTTCAGGACTATAGATTTCAGACGGCAATAATTCCAAGGTAAGTAATGACAAAAAAAGAGAAAATTGAAATGTTAGACTGTGATTTGAAATGTTATCTAAGTATGATAATTAACGAATAAGAATTTCTGCCAATCATGAGGTCCATTCTAGAATACAAATCGTTGGCTCGAAAATTTGTATAGTTCATTTCTTGTATATATATATATATATATATAAACATTTATTGGTTTTGGTTTTGTAAAACAATTCATGTGACTGTTAAAGGAATTATGAACCATGGTAAGTGAAAATGTTAGAACACAATAGACCGTTTTTTTCCAAAATTGTGTTTTGTCATGGTATACACGTTGTAAAGGAAATCGTATATACTCCTAAAGGAATAAAAACAGGGTGCGAAGACAGGGTAAGCCTGCAATGCATGCATCTGGGTGCGGGAATTTCTCGCTGCATTGAAGACCTGTTGGTGACCTTCTGCTGTTGTCTGTTCTATGGTCGGGTTGTTGTCTCTTTGACACATTCCCCATTTCCATTCTCAATTTTATCACCCACAATGCAAATTCTTGTATCTAAAGATTTAAGACGGAGAAAACATTTCACAAGTGAATGGAGACATCGACACATCTTATTGGTCAACAAGTTTTTTTTTCCCGATGTTGACCGTACAACTTATGTAGTATAACCCAGTTTGAACAGTTTTTGTGTAAGGTTCACATCTCCTGTTCATGAAGTCCATTAAGGTGAACATGCATGATCGCAACGTATTGCCTAAAACAAATTCATTCGTTGAAGCAGATTATTTTTCTGATGAGAATGGGGAGTTGCCATGTCGAAAGTTAAATACGTCACGTTTGTTGTAGATTCTATTTTGAAGTCGTCAATCGCTGTCAATATCGAGGAAAAGATTAAGATATGAAACAAACCATCTACTTTTGAAGTTACAGTTTAAAGTTACGTTTCAGTACTTCATTTAATCTCTGTATTACAAAAATAAATCAATTACACATTTTTAAATAAAGGCAACAGTAGTATACCGCTGTTCGAAACTCATAAATCGATAGAGAAAAAAAAACCGGGTTACAAACTAAAACTGAGGGAAACACATCAAATATAAGAGGAGAACAACGACACAACAAAAACACAACATTAAAATGTAACACACACAGAAACGAACTATAATATAACAATGGCCATTTTCCTGACTTGGTACAGGACATTTTAAGAAAAAAATGGTGGGTTGAACCTGGTTTTGTGGCATGCCAAACCTCCCGCTTTTATGGCAACGTCAAACACAACATCAAAACGACAACATCACATGACAGGACCACAATACAAATAAATGGGAGAACATATAGGACAAAGAAACACACGAATAATAGCTAGCAGAAGGTACTAGGCTTAAAATCTGTTTAGGGTGAGCAAATCAATTACAGACGAGAAAACTGACCACAAATGTGTTTACAACTTTCAATTGTTATGAACAAAAATACTCCGATATTGACAAATTTGATCAAACCACGATCTATTCTAGAAAATAACTTTTTTACAAATACTAGATTACCTCCTATCTGTACTGTATTATTTTTTTCTTATAATTCCATAGTTTAACAATAATTACACGATACATAACAGCTGTTTGACGTTTGCTAGTATTCCCTGGTTATAAAATTACCAATTACTTTCTGAACAAGGCTCAATAATTCCCGGTTGTTAATGCTTGTCTGTCTTTACGAGACAAGATAATACAAACTTGATCGTCTTATCTGCTGGAATAAGTTTGAATCAGTGACTATGAACACTACAGATGTATTAGTGCTTTGTAAATTCATGGTTTCTTAACTTTTAAATTTTGAAGGTCAAATCTGAATATAAATAAAGGCAACGGTAGTAACTGGTGTTCAAAAGTCATAAATCGATTGAGAGAAAACAAATCCGGGTTACAAACTAAACCCGAGGGAAACACATCAACTATAAGAGGAAAACAAAGGAACAAAATAAAACAATATATTCATGTAAAACCCAATTTTTGTAATTTGATACATATATTTTAATCATTACACGCAGTTATTCATAAAAGGTTATTAACATAAGTCTACGTGGTCGCTTTGAAAGATATATAAAACATAAATATGTCTTTGCTTCATTTATAATACCGACTTCCAATCAAGGTGACCAATAATAATAACAATAATCAGATCAAAACAATTATTGTCTCGTCACGTCATCCTTCGTAGTAAAACGAATGCGTTTTAAGCCTTAATTCAAAGGTAACGTCTCTTATGAGGTCAGTATTTTCTTGTCCTTGGGTGTCCGTTATATACAGGTTTCACTGTTATCATATGCAGGATGAGTCGTATTGATTACAAAGCTACAGTTGTAGATACTTTAAATAATTTATTTGTCCCCTAGCCTTAAGCTTGTTCCTAGAATAAAAGCTTATTACTAGCTGATTATATCACCATTATCCAGACGTCTAAGTAAAGTGTATTTCATGAGAAATGTATTATATCATATTGCCATAGACATGTAGTGGCTTATTTTAATGTTTAGAATACATATAATTTCATACATTTGCTATATATCATATTGTTTAGTATATGAACATTTTATCCATGGTAATTACATGTAACATCAATGATACGTTAATAGATGCAAAACATAATTTGTCAACTATCACTAAAAAACTCTTGCAAACAACGGCATTGATAGCAAGTCAATAATATTAAAAGCCGTGAGCATATGTTTCTGTTTGAACAACATTTATGTTCACTGTTTTTATCGATGAGGGGTTTACGTTCTCCGTTGTATGACGTCTTACCTAAAATATAAAAATAAGTTATTAATTGTAACTCAAACTCATCAATGATTAGCTGGCATGAACATACGCATTGCTTATTTACGTTTTTTGTAGGGTTCAGTGTTGTTCAGGCTTTTATTCCCTATGTATGTTTTTGTCATGGCGTTGTCATTTTCGCTTCGACTTTTGAATGCCCCATTGCAATCTTTCTCCATTTTTCATAGTTGTAGTATTCATATATTCATACACTCAGAGATATGATCTGTAAGATATTGTATCTGAATATCGACTGAAAGAGGGAAGAGGTTATTCGTTTTTCTGCCCTTGTCGATACAAATGGACTAAATCCAAAAGAAGAAAAACACTATGGCAAAAACGCATACAACAGTCCACAAAACTCTAAGAATTAAATACCACAAAAATACAGGGGTGCACTCATCTGCTCTGTAAACATATTTGGTTATACTGTTCGTGCATATGCCGAAATATTTTTGATGTGGTCTATTAAGTTGTACTCGGTGTTGTTTTTGGGCGATTCCTGCTAGCGCCTAAATGGTTTCAAACATCCCAAAAAAGTGTATAGTAAAATGGTGCATTGGTGTATTGTATATGCTGCGCTGCATTACAAACGTTGTATTGTTTCTTTTTTTATTTGTTTACGTTAGTTTCAATAAGTTTTCAAATATGAGTTGCAATTAGCCGTTCCTTCAATAACGTTACATTGTGGGTAATTGTGAATAGTGCAAATCGTGTATGATTCAAATGTGACCGGGAAAGAGGAATGGTGTATGGTGTATGGTGCATGAGGAATAATGTAAGGTATAATGGTTTATAGTGAGTGTTGTTATAATGTATGGTATAACTGGGAAATTAACACCATTTAAGGACTTCAAAATAGACAGAAATCGTTTTTACAACTCATGGTTATAGATCATTTTATTTACATTACTGGGTTGAATAAAACGAGTTCTACGTTTTTACAACTCATGGCTATAGATCATTTCCTTTATATTACTGTTTTAAACAAAACGAGTTCTAAGAAGTTTAATCAAGCTCATTCTTCGTTCGGCAATACTGTTTTTTTTCGATTTACGGGTTGTGATTTCCACCTGTCGTATCCAATTCTCTTTTTATACAAGAAAAATTGAAAAAAAATTACAAAAACACGGATAAAACCAAATTAAAATATGGCTTAAGGTGTCTTTACATTTGATTTGATTCATTAAGCAAAAATCAAACATAGAAAAATAAAATCATAACATATGTTTAAAGTCGATATTTATAAAAGAATTGCCATTTGAAGAATCATAAAGTAGCCCCGAGAAAACGTTCTTGATAGACAAACTATTTCTTTGCGTGTATAAAGGGTGACGTCAAAAGCTTTTTGATCTTATTTGTAAACTAGAAATTAATAAGACTTATTTCAAACCTGACGTGTATAACAGAAAAGATTTTAATTAATCAGCGCCATTCTTCTTTGAAGACGCAAATAGGTTGTCATTACAAAGGAGACTTGTGATTGAATGTTTTGACTAAGTAATGCTCTAGTATAACATAACTGAATATGGTTTACGTTAAGAGAATGTAATCTTACAAATAAGTATAACTTTGTAGCGTCTGTAATTTTCTTAACACATTCTATCATAACACGAAATATAAAGAATTGTTCTAGCGTTCATACTGACTTTACCAAAGAAATGTAGGACTGTTTATATAGCTTACAATATACAACTGGGTGCGTCTAACAACAATGCAATTCATTCCCGGAATCAAAAGTCTCATACAATTTTGAAATAAAGTTACTTACCATATCCAAACGGACCTTATCGCGATGAAAAATTTAAGGCGAATACACCGAGGAGACCGTAAATAAAAGTAAGAAAGACCTATTCTTAAAAGTAAAAATCTTTTAACGGCTATACATTAAAATGCAGGATTTAATATACCGAATTATAATTCAATGTCCAGATGATTTTGTATTGAAAACTCACCACACTTCTCTCTCTCTCTCTCTTTCTCTTTCTCTCTCTCTCTCTCTCTCTCTCTCTCTCTCTCTCTCTCTCTCTCCTTGGTGTTCAGACTGTCTTACTCTCTATCTTATACACATATATTTAGAAAAAAATGCTTCCAAAAAAAGATGCATTGATTAAATAATATTGATAGATATATATATTAAATATTGCTGTTATATTATGCTGTAAATTTGAAAATCCTTTCACGAATAACCTACTTCCAAAAAATGCTTATCTTTACTTTTTAAATCTGCACAGACACAACTTTTGAATAAATATTTTCACGAAAAACAATATTTCTATATCAAAAGTTCAAGTGACCAGAGCAAATGGTCATACTCGAAAACTTTGACGTAGAAAACTTAGTATATTTTGGGAGATTGCAACATGCTAAGGACTATGTGGAACACTCCAAATATTAGTGACTTAGCGATTTAGATTTTTTTTTTTGTCAATTCACAGCAAACTTAAGACTAATATTTTTGAAATTTGAGTCTCACAAGCTTCTTATGCAATTATGTCGACAAATAATGGCAAAAGGCATCATGTATTTGCACATGTATATATTTCTAATAGCACGGTTTAACAATATTTTTTTTCAAATGCACGATGGTTGTTTAGAAATAGCTTTTATTCGGTAGCGTCACCGGTATTATTTTTTGATTGATTTTGTCAACAATTTTCGTAAGAAGAGTTACTTTTCCATTGTTCTTGCGTCATCGGTTTTGATATACTGTTTAAATGACATACACGTTCAAATTTTCGTTAATAATCTTCAAGGTTCAGCTAAACCATTTGACATTGCTACGAAGACACCACGATGTTTATGAGTACAGACAATGGTGGAACATAAAGGATGTACACCTCTGAGAAGCCAAAAATTTCTAGAATTAAACTTTTTTTCTTTACCTGATTTTTGGGTTTATATGACTGTTAAATAATAATTGGTGAAGAAAAAATCATATGGTGGTGTACTTCTTTTTTTTGCTACGGCCATTTGAAAGTAGCCAATTTTGATGATTTTCCCATTTTTCATCAATTTTTACCCATTTTTTAGGCTAATATCATGAAACAATTAAACTTTTTTTCAAACTTTCACTAAAGATGAAGTTCACCAATCTGAATAAATTTAACTTAAAAAAAACTATAGGTAGGTGTTAATGTAAGAAAGTTTTATAAAATTTTGTTGCTTTTTCGTGTCAAATTTACCATGCTGTCAATTTTGTAAATTTAGGATTTTTCTCTTTTTTAGAACAAAAAGCATATTATTTCAACATCTTTGTTATAAATGATTGAAAAAATACATATCTGAAAAATTTAAAAAGAAAAAATTGATATGGGATGTTCATGTTTCTGGTAAAATCATTGCTTGTACCCCTCACCCATTTTCGCAACATTTTGGCTAATGAGACTGACTTGATTGGTTATAAAATTGGGAAATTTTATTACTCAAAAACTACTTATTGTAAATACACAATTTTTTCACAGAGTTAAGTTTGATTATAATATTTTTTAAATTCATTGATATTTCCCACTTGCATCACATGTTTTGGAAATGATTCCAGAACGAGATTTCAACGAGACTGAAACGTCAGAGGAATACATCCTTAAATGCACTTTTGTTCTACACTGCAAAAGATGGTAAAATAAACAAAACACCTAAATTTGATTTAATGTCCACTCAGTTCCACTCTTTTCCTTGTATCTATGATGAGTTTATTTGAGTAGATATCTTTTGTCCGTATCATTCAGATTACAATACAAAACAATATTAAAATCAAATATTTTCCCACAGGGGCAGTAAGTGAATTTTAACACCAACGAAAATGCCCATCAAAATTCAGGAATTCAAAGTATCAAACTTTTTTGTTTAAAAAAAATGCATTTAGTTTTATTTATCTAGGTCATACAAGTCATTTCTTCATTCTTTGCACATGTTTTTCTGTGCTCAGTTTAAGTTGTGTGGTGTTAATATCGCCATTTGCAGGGGCGGATTCAGGCAGGGGCGTGGCGGGCGTGCGCCCACCCTAAAATTTGCAAAGCATGGGTTGTCCTCAGATTAATAAAGAATATTTCGATAATTTTACCCCAAAAACAATTTTCCCCTCGCTTCGCTCGACGAAAAATTTAAGTTTGCGCCCCCTAACCTAGAATCCTGGATCCGTCCCTGATTTGTCAAATGGTTATGATGAACTTGCTGAAAGATGAAATATAATTTTTATAACGTTGTTTACTTTGTGCATTTGTTGCCCTGGGACTCGAGCTCATAGATAATGGTTTAAGATCAAATATTTATAACGAAATATTCTTTTTTTCGTATTTCATGAACAAAAATTTATATTTCTATATTTAATTACCTAATTCTTTCATTTCCACAGTTTCCTGAGCTAAAGAACCTTTGTTATTTTCTGTAGTTTTCCTTTTTGAAATATTTTCTTTGCAACTAACATCATCCTGGAATACATAATAAAGCATCTATGGTAAATTTTGAAATTTCGTTTTTCATTTTTGCTTTTGTTTTTGTCTTTGTTGAAATAGTTTTTTTTTATAGTGATTCAGATTATAACACAATGTTGACTGCTGTACCCCAATTTTTGACATTTTTACCTATTATGTCTGTTTGTTTTGCTCACACATTGTTGTCAATATAATGGAATTCTATGCGACTGTCATACAAGTGAGAGGTTTAGTTAGCTATAAAATCAGGTTTGTGAATACCCTCTCTTAACTAAAAAAAACCATAACAGCATACAAACAATAAAAGAAGAAATATGTGTCCGTGGTAAACAGATGCACCAGCCTGTAAATGTTTAGATATGCAAGAGTTAATCTACTAATTCAAACATAATGACGTGTTTTTTTTTCTTTTAGATTTAATGCGGAAACGGCAAGTTCAGCATTTTTTTTTTCATTTATAAAGGGACATAACTCGAGAATGGTGAAAGTGATGCCACCCAAATTCAAATTAGATCTGTGTTTGGTGATTGTAAGTGTTGTGTATTGTATAACATTTAGTTGAGCAAGCTAAAGCTAGAGAAGGGAAACCGATTTCGGGATGGACGAACGTTAAAACCGACAAGCGTTAACCTTAATACCCTCTTCGCCTAGCGGCGGGGGCATAGAAAAAAAAAGGGAAAAATACTTCTAGAGGTCGACACACTGTCTTGAACAATTATAGAAAATGTCTATACAATACGTCAAGTTGTTTATCACCTTGAGTCTAGACACGTTTTAAATGCACGCAGAGAAACTGGCAAAGGTCTAACATCAGCACCAAATTAATCCCTTTAAAACAAATGACATCAGTTGACAACGTTTCTGGACTGACTTTTTAGGGTATTATGGTAAACTTTGATCAAGTACGTTTCTGCACTGACTTTGTAGGGTATTATGGTAAACTTTGATAAAGTACGTTTCTGGACTGATTTTGTAGGGTATTATGGTAAACTTTGATAAAGTACGTTTCTGGACTGACTTTGTAGGGTATTATGGTAAACTTTGATTAAGTACGTTTCTGAACTGTCTTTGTAGGGTATTATGGTAAACTTTGATAAAGTACGAGTCTGGACTGATTTTGTAGGGTATTATGGTAAACTTTGATTGAGTACGTTTCTGGAATGACTTTGTAGGGTATTATGGTAAACTTTGATAAGTACGTTTCTGGACTGACTTTGTAGGGTATTATGGTAAACTTTGATAAAGTACGTTTCTGGATTGACTTAGTAGGGTATTATGGTAAACTTTGATAAAGTACGTTTCTGGACTGATTTTGTAGAGTATTATGACAAACTTTGATAAAGTACGTTTCTGGAATGACTTTGTAGGGTATTATGGTAAACCTTGATTAAGTACGTTTCTGGACTGACTTTGTAGGGTATTATGGTAAACTTTGATAAAGTACGAGTCTGGACTGATTTTGTAGGGTATTATGGTAAACTTTGATTAAGTACGTTTCTGGACTGACTTTGTAGGGTATTATGGTAAACTTTGATAAAGTACGAGTCTGGACTGATTTTGTAGGGTATTATGGTAAACTTTGATTAAGTACGTTTCTGGATTGACTTAGTAGGGTATTATGGTAAACTTTGATAAAGTACGTTTCTGGACTGATTTTGTAGAGTATTATGGTAAACTTTGATAAAGTACGTTCTGGAATGACTTCCTAGGGTATTATGGTAAACTTTGATTAAGTACGTTTCTGGACTGACTTTGTAGGGTATTATGGTAAACTTCGATAAAGTACGTTTCTGGACTGACTTTGTAGGGTATTATGGTTAACTTTGATAAGTACGTTTCTTGACTGACTTTGTAGGGTTTTATGGTAAACTTTGATAAAGTACGTTTCTGGACTGACTTTGTAGGGTATTAGGTAAACTTTGATAAAGTACGTTTCTGGACTGACTTTGTAGGGTATTATGGTAAACTTTGATAAAGTACGTTTCTGGACTTACTTTGTAGAGTATTATAATGGTAAACTTTGATAAAGAACGTTTCTGGACTGACTTTGTAGAGTATTATGGTAAACTTTGATTAATTTTGAGAGGATAATATTTCATTGGTTTTATATTAAAATGAATAAACATTGTAAGTAAGTTTGTTGGAATCTTATATTTACTATGTATTATATACAACTAATACCAGACGTTTAGGTCTACTACAGTTTATTGCACAAATGCCTTTCGGGTTTTGTTTTATTTATCGATTTCATGTTTTTGAAATGTCGAGCTAAGTCTTATTTTTTAGTAGGCATTTAACAACAGAAAATGTCGTAAGACAGTTATTCATATATTGCGGATAACTCTACGGAGACCAATATGACTAAAAGAGGCGGAAGATAATAAAGCGATAGTCAAACTCATAGGTAGAGTGGAAAAAAGTCATATTTGCATTAGTAACATGACAGAAGAAACATCAAAGTACATGTATTACTGTTATATCCTTACCGTATTTGGTAATGCAAAATAATATACATTTCTGCAAGCATGATAAACTAAATAACAGTGAAGACAAACGAACTTATTTAATTTGACGGATGTTAGCAAGTATATATGTTTTAACATTTGCATAATTTTATTTTCAGACAGAATCAAAAACTTAAACATTGTACATCTGAGCGAAAGCAGTCCACCAGGGTTGATGATATGATTCTTATATGATTTTACCCTTCCGGAGCCCCTGAGATCACTCCTAGTTTTTAGTGAGGTTCGTGTTGCTAAGTCTTTAGTTTTCTAAGCTATGTTGTGTTTTGTGTACTGTTGTTTTTCTGTTATTCTGTTTTTCTGTTTTTCTGTTGGTCTTTTTCTTTTTTAGCCATTGCGTTGTCAGTTTATTTTCGACTTATGAGTTTGACTGTCCCTTTGGTATGTTTCGCCTCTCTTTTACTTTACAACAAACCGAAATTGGTTTCTTGCACGATGTGTGAACATGTTTCAGTTGCACGAGATGTTGACGAACCTGATTATTGTATTCAGACTCAGAAATTGATAAATCAAAATACTGAATTTACATTGTAGTGTATTGAGCACATTTTGTTCTACTCCGAGTATTTAGTAAAGTTGTATGACCGAAAGACCTCGTCTCATGCAATTTTCAGTTGCACGGAATTCCAATTGCTTTCATTCCAATATGGATCTGTTCATATCTTGCGGTTACAATTTTGTAAGCACAAGTACACTGTATTATAGTAGTTTAAGTGTGGGTAACAGTATGAAATAAAATTAAATATATAGTATTGCATTTTAAATGTATTACCTGGCCACAACAGTGATCTGATTTTGTGAATCTTTCGTCAACTTGAAAACGGATTGATTTGTTGCATTCTTCGTCTTCTGCAAAATATAAAATCATGATTAACATGATTAACATGATTAACGAGTCTTAGACGTCTTTATCGAAAATTGTATTTGATAAAGAAATTCATAAATACTTGAGTTTTCTAAATATAAAAACAAACAAAAATATGAAAATAACTAGAAAGTCAACGAGGCATAATTTTGTGTTCATATAAATGTGCAAGTAAATGTTGTCTATTGTCTATCTATTGGATTTTTCTATTATACCAAAGAATAAAGTCAAGGTACATTTACAACATTTTCCAAAATCCAAGCTCGCGTGCATGCATGTATAAGTTGGTTAAAAACTGGTTTGCGTCATTCATTACCATCGAAACTTATTTTTAATAAAGAACAATATAAAAGAGGTTTCAGATGACAGGGCAGTATGAGATAAGCTGTTCAGACACCTTATTGCTACTTATCCGACAATCATGTTCGCATAAAATGTATATTTTGGTTTTAGGACACTATTATATCTCTTTATTATTGGTAAATAGTTGTAGAATAGCATATAAATGTGGAAAAAGAGAATTAATTAACCGATTATTTGCCTTCAATCGTGCTATATTACATCTTTTCTTTTAAGAGCCTTAGCACAGTTGCACTAATAGAAAACGACAGAATAATTAATTTATTTTCAGATAGAGAGCTTTTTCTTTTTCCGGAATTAATCCGTTTAACTCATTAATGTCTAGATTTGATGTCGTTTTCCCTATTTCACAAATAATTAATCGATTAAGAAATAAAAATATCTAAAAGGTTTGCACTTTAGACTACATAATCCCTATAAAAGAGGGTCTGGGTGATGTCCTTAATTTCTGTATTGTTAAATGTTCAGGACATTTGTCTTTATCTTTAAAAATAAAGCTTATTCTGTAAATTTCCAATGAAAATGATTTTACTATTTATGTTTTTTAATCATTTGATGTCTTTATTCTGTATATCCTCTATTTCTGTAATCAGTTTTGTATAATCTAATTCATTTATTTTCCACAGTTATAATATCCTTTATACTTCTGCACCCCATTGTTTTCTATTTTTCAATTATTTTGCTCATTTTTGCCATTATTGTCTATTCTGTAAACCCTATTCAGACCCCAATGAAAGACTCTGTGTCCTATTCCCCTCTTCAATGTTTTGGCATGCTGTTTTGAGACACATTTTGATATGGGATATGGTTTCTGTAAATCTGTATGTACATATTTCTTGTATGAATTTTTTATATTCTTCCGATGTGGTCATTATTTCAGTTTGACATACAAAACATCGCAAACTATTTTAGACAGAAGGAATGAAGCTGTGTGTATCTGTTTCTCATTTTACGTTGTGTTCAATGGTGGTGGCCATCTTGAGCTAGCCATGATTGGCAACAAAAACGTAAAATTGGTATATATTAGGATATGTATGAACCATTTCTAAAATATTTCGAATAAATATTCATAAAAAAGTTCTTGAAATTTCAAAAAATCAGGATACTTTTTGGTCATTGCAGCAATTTTAAAATTCAGATCCACACCAAATATTCTTTTCAGTGAACTTCTTTTTAATATGAAGATTCCTGTCTATTTTACATATGATTTAAAGAAAATGCCGGATATTTCTTAATGAGACAGCAACCCGACGATACAAATGACAAAACAAACATCTACAAAGCAACATGGTCTTCAGCTATACAACATATCACGATCTTAATCGTTTTAGTCTAAAAACAAAAGTTGTGACTAAATTAGACAGAAACTTTGATCCAAGATCAGGTACCATGTGATATATAAGAGAAAAAAATAATAACATAGGAAAATAAGTAAAGACTAAAGAAAACAACTGCACGGGTTAATTAATGTTACACGGACATGAATATGTTGTAGGGTTAAACTATTTCGTTTGTATTTCATTCACATTTCCTTTGTATCTGTATTTAAAAATTCTGCAAATGAAAATACGTTTAGTACTGAAAGCGCCTCTATCATTCTTCAAAACAAAAATTAACTCAAAAGACGTTTTTCCATTTTCTTTTGTATGTGCTATTTTATATGGTGCTTTTTTTTTAATTATTGAAAAATCGTCAGAAAAACATACTTAAATGATATACTAATTGCAATAAATAGGTCGAGAGTTTGAATATGACATCAGAAAACCCGCATTTTAAAATTCAAACATATTTTCAACACTACTAAGTGGATCAAAGTTCATAGATCTCATTCGATCTGTACCTTGATGACGTAAAAGCGTTTAGGTCAACATTTATAGTTCGACCAAACTAACCAAAATTGAGAAAAAAACATACATCCACATATCCTGAGAGTATTTTTGTTTTGCTTTCTAATAATTTCAGACTCTACACTGTCATTCTATTTATATTGCTTTCCTTTCATCAATACTTCATCATTAATATTTCATTACTACATCTCTCTGTGGTATCTACGATGACTGACATTAAAGTTAATACCATTACGTATTGCTTTTATACTCGGAACACATCAGGAGATTTTAATATCATCTTATTGTCAGCTTAAATAAATTATGAAGTAAACTGTTCATATCATGGAAATAGAACTAGTTATCTTTATAAGCTTGGTCTTAACTATACAGAAAACGCCAAAGTCTGTCTTTTTATACTTTTATAACATTAAAATTACACCATTAAACCATTTCCAGAATAAAGATAAGGAGATGCGGTATAATTACCAATACTACAACTATTTACCAGAGACCAAAGGATGATGATATGAACAATTACAAGTCACTGTACTGCCTTCAACAATGAGCAAAACCCATACTATAAAGTAAGATATAAAATTCTCTGAAATTATTTGTTCCAAAAAAGGTAACACAATATCTTACTCTAGAGCTTTGAACATATTCAAGCTATAATACAAGACCTGGCATGACAACATATGAAAATGTCAAGATAAATACATGTATATGATATTTGAATTAATTATCATTGGCTAGACATGTATTGTAGGTTGTGACTAATACTTCAAATGGAAATATAAAATTTCTATGATATCGTTCTGTGCATTGTAATAAACACTAGTATACTTTTATTCAAAATCAAAAATTGTTTTGTAAAAATCATCCAATACGTTCGACTTATTGACGCCATTTTGTGAATCAAAATTGCTATTATTCGGTAGCAGACATGCACACGCAGTACTTTAATTTCATGGTTATATCGGTTTTATTTCCAACATTAACTTTTCAAAGCCAATTATACCTAAACGAAGCATTGAATTGCCGGATCGATAAGTTAAAATGACAAATCATTGTTATTTAGTTTCAATGTTTACGTTTAAGTTAGGTTCTTGGTATGACATCAATTGTTGTTTCACAAATGAAAATAACGCTTTGTGAATTTGTTTCGTCCCAATATAGAAATAAGAAGATATAGTATGATTGCCAATGAGACAACTTTCCAACAGAGACCAAACGACGTAGAAGCTATCAACTATAAAACACCGTATACCGTATTACAAAATTGCAAAACCCATACCGCAGAGAAAAATATAAAAGGTCCCGATATGACAAATGTAAAACAATTTAAACGAAAATAACTAACGGCCTGATTTATTTACAAAACAAATATGATATACAGCAACAATCGACAACCACTGATTTACAGGCTCATCCCTTGGGACAGACACATACAGAATGTTGCGAGGTAAAACATATCTACAGTCGACCAACTCTCCCCTAACTTGTAAGATCGACACAAACCAAACAAAATCAACTAACAAAGGACTGAAGACACAAAGTAGAGATTTGAGAGTAGTCGCAGTTACTGAACGCCAGTTGAAAGCCAATAACAACTAAACTACTTTCTAGATATTCCTTCATTAAGTACGCTGAAACAAAAAAATGTGACAGTCAATAAGATGCCTAAAATCCTCTCCATGGGTTTAGTATGTAAAATTTCCATCTGCAATTACTTGATTGCATTAATTTTGTTTTTATTTTAAAGTGTTATTTCATTTACAGATGAAAAACTATCATTTGATAAAGGCGACTGCTATCGTATAATGTTTCCCTAACGTATACTCCTCTAAGCTGTTTAAATCGACGTCTGATTTGCTTGACCTCAGTTTTTCATTGTTCGAAATTCAACTTTGATGTCAATGTTCGTGCTTTCATTTGATTGTACTTGTATAATGTCACAATAAACGGTGAGTATGCATGATGACGTCTCAAATTAAAAACATGATTTCTAAGCAAAATTATTAAAAAAAAACCACTGATATACTTTTCCTGCATATTGAGAAACACTGTACGATAAGACGTGTCTCTATTATCGATAGTTATGTCGTTTGATGTGTTTGGGCTTTTGATTTTGCAATTTGATTAGGGACTTTCCTTTTTGAATTTTCCTCGGAGTTCAGTATTTCTGTGATTTTACTTTTTACCAACCAGCTTTTTGCCAGAAATACTTTAAAATGACTAAAACAGTTAATATGTTGTGTTTCTTGTGCTAGTGAAGATGTATATTCGATTTATTCGACTACCTTCGAGTCTATATAATATATATATTTCATGTTTATTGTTATCTCAAAAAGTGTTCTTTTCATTTATCGAGAAAAAACATTAAAGCAACATTTGTGTTTTAATGATATACGAATATTCAGTACATATAGATTCTTACATTGGTACCAATGGATTATCGAATTTATCCAATCGAGGTTGTTAAACTATGGAATTTTAAATATCGATATTGGAGAAATCCGATAATCCACTAGTAACTAATGATTATCAAATGAATTTTCGTTTTTGATAAACGAAAACCCCCTTTGAGTGTCTTCCACATTGCACAAAGTTGTCAACTTCTCTAACACAAATACGATTCATCCAGCGAGCTGATAAAGGTTATGACCCTTAAACTCAGCCAATCATCTTCTGAGATCATCAGCAACCGCACGTTGATTAAATTGTGTTATACAATGCATGGGTCCAGAAAAGATTAAATTGCCAAAGATTTAGAGAAAAAAAAAATATATATAAATATCAGTTGTACGTAGACATATGACACCAAACTAAGTACATACAATGGTCGTAAGGATATATATGTAAAAACCATTAACCTGTACTGTTTCTTACATTTTTGGTAATGTCCTTTTGGCGTGGCTCGGTACTTATACATCCCGCCGTTGTGTTATTGTGCTATGGTCATTTTTTGTATTCTTGTCTTCCATTTTTGCTTATGTGCTTTGTCTATATGCCATTTTGTTTTTCTTTGTTGACATATTTGTTAGTTTTTATAGTGATTAAGATTATAACACAATGTTGACTGCTGTACCCGTATTTTAGACATTTTGTCCTATATTATGCCTGTTTGTTTCGTTCACACATTGTTGTCAATTTAATGTAATTTTATGCGACTGCCATACAAGTGAGAGGTTTATACAGCTATAAAACCAGGTTTAATCCACCATGTTCTACATAAGGAAATGCCTGTACCAAGTCAGGAATATGACAGTTGTTTTCAAATCGTTTGATGTGTTTGAGCTTTTGATTTTGTTATTTGATAAACGACTTTTCGTTTTGAATTTTCCTTGGAGTTCGGTATTTTTGTTATTTTACTTTTAATGCCATGAACTATACCTATTTTTTAATAAAGTATGCACATGTGATAATTACATGTAAGGGTCTGAGAATAGAGGCTAATGAGACAATGCGCATGATAGAAGGAAACAAATGATGAATAATAGAGAAGAATATGACAAAAAATAGGAAAAAAAGTGGGGTGATAAAAAACAAAGAATACAGAATAATAAGCAACACGTACAAGAATAGAGATAAAAGACCGTAAAAATTAAAGAATACCGAAATGGAAGGACCACCATCCAGACCCTCATATACCATATACAGAAATCTTACCTGGTACATCTTCATCCATACATTGACCATTTTGTTGTGAATAAGTGTTTAAATAATCCTCTTTTGCTTTCTCGATCACGTCTTGAATAAAGACATCAATTTGTTTACAGTTATCGTAATCTACGGCTTGTTCTCGATTCCATGCAAATTTCAAACGAGGTCTTTTCTTTCTTTCTGGATAAGGCGACGATGATTTCTTCAACAAAGCCTTTTTCAGACTCTTTTCATTCATCGTCGTTTTTAAATTACTTTCGGCACAATACACTTTTTCTTTCGGGTGACCTTGGGTCTTGCAGTATCTTCAGATTAAACCAGAATCACAATCGATTATTTAGTTTAGTTACATGAAGTTTCACTGCCTCATTTATCCTGATTTCTTAAAAATTTCTCCTCGAATAAATCGCAATTATTTCGTGTATATACAATCTACGTAGAGAAACTCTTCACAATCACTTAGTAAGGACGTATAAAGGTTGGATATTTGAAATAAAGACAGCATAACAAGCTCCTTGCTTTTATTCCTTCATTTTTATTAGCTTCATTTATTTTTTAATTCAGTTTGCTTATTTTCCTTCAAATAATTCAATCAGTAAAGCCGTAACTATTTCATTGACTTTTATATTCCTTTGCATTAAGTTTAATCATCTAAATGTTTTATTTTCTGTACATCTGTATCATCTAAATGTTTTATTTTCTGTACATCTGTATCATCTAAATGTTTTATTTTCTGTACATCTGTATCATCTAAATGTTTTATTTTCAGTATCTGTAATGACGTTGTTTGTCCCGGATGATGCACATGTAGCGATGGTGCTGAAACAAATACTGTATCGTCAGGGTAATCAAAAAGTATCATCAATCAAAATTAATTCTTCATTAAATAACAATTCCAATGTTATATTATTATAAAGTCTAATTGCATTGGTCTGAGTCATGTCAATCAAACAGTGTGTACATGTATAAACCCGTTTTTGACGTCACGTTTATGAAATCATACACAGACAAAAACGTTACGTAGCTGTTTTTGATATATTTTAGCTCGATTGATTGATGTTGATTGATTGTTGTGATTAACTATTGGTCACATCGTGGCGGTCAGTTTTTATTTGCAAAGGAAGCCGAAGTGCCACCGACCTTCGATAGGAAAACTAGCAATCCTAGTCAATTTAGAACTTAGTCGAAAGTACCAGGCACCTGCAGGGTTCGTACTCAATTCGAAGGCACAAATGATCCCATGTGTTTGCATAGCATTAACCAGGAAATCTTCGAGATCGGAAGTCTGGGAAATTAAATACATAAATCTTTTGGGAGCAGAAATTTCAAAAGCCTGTACTCAGAAATTCATCGAAAGCCCCATTGCCAGATTAATCTATATATTAAGCTTAAGTACAAATGCATTATTTATAAATTGGAAATACAAATTTGAAATCACTTAAATAATGCCCTCAAGCAATGCATCAAAAATATTATGACTATTTCTAAAATGACCTAGGATATTATATCTGTTAGGGGTCATCCTGTAGATAGCTTGCCCGTGCAGGTTTTATTATAATTTTTTGTTTTTGTTTAGCGAACTACGGTCTAGATAAGTAAAGAGGGAGGTTTGTTTTTGTAAAACTGGTTTGGCTCCACAACAGTATGTGCCCGTAAAAAGTTAGGTTATACATGTGTTGTATGTCTTTATGTATACAGTCAAACCTGTATATAAAGGTCACCCTTGGGAACAGGGAAAACTGACCTTATAAGAGAGATGACCTTTGAATTGAGGTTCAAAGTGCATAAGTATTACTACAACGGTAAAAGCAGGAGGTGACCTGCCAGGACAGGTTTACGCTTAAAAGAGGTTACCTTTATAACAGGTTTGACTTTATGTCAATATGTTCTCTGTTATGTATTCGAAGGAGTTGGGTGTTGGTTTAATATTTGTGTGTTTGGGTGTGCTGTCTGGTATTCTGGTTTATTACTGCTATCAACTTTATTTATTACAATTCCTCAAAATTATTTTACATCCGGTGCAGAAAAAAAATTGGTACCGTGAAATGAGCTGCGTCGGATAGAAATCGACCTTATGCAAGTGCACGTTTTCATGTACATGTGTAAGACTGTGCTTGATTTTCGAACATTCAAATATGAAATAAGAGATGAATGTTGGTCTGTTTTGTAGGGTTCTTAATAACTCAATTGTCAAGCAGTTATAGACTTTGCGTGGAGGTTTTTTCAACCCAAAATAGGTTAACAGATGTATTGATATCATACGAGTGCCTTAGGAACTGTCCTATAAATAATACATATAAAAATAAGGAGATATCGTATGATTGTCAATGAGACAACTATCAACAAAAGTTCAAATGAAGTGGATGTAAGCAATTTAGGCAACCGTACGGCCTACAACAATGAGAAAAACCCATACCGTATAGTCGGCTATACAAGGCACCGACATGAAAAATATGAAACAATTCAATTGAGAAAACTAACGGCCTCATTCATAACAAAAAAAAATACGAAAAACAAATATGACAGACATGAACCAACGACAACCACTAAACTAGACGCTCCTGACTAGGGACAGGTACACAATTGGTGTGGCGGGGTTAAACATGTTTTTAGAAACAAACTCTTCCCCTATTAGTAACCTGGCACGGTGGTGTAACGACACAACACAAGAACAAACTATGCATTTCAATAAACGAAAAAAAAAGTTGAATTATAGAGAGAATAAATCCAACCATATGGATCTCGTCAATTGCATCCTGATACTTTCATCTTCTTTATTTTATTTTCTACTTCTAAGCAAATCATCATTATTAACACTGGAAGATAAAACTGATGTACTTTTAAACATACCCTATATGGACCTTCTACTATTTTCATTTTTATCTTTTAAATCTGTATAACCAAATAAATAAATTCTCTTTTGAATGTTAAAGAGAATTTTAATAGTTTTTCAACCTTTAACTAAAATTAAAAAAATATCGAACACCAAGGGAAATTCAAACATAAGTCCCTTATCAAATGGCAAAATCAATTAAGGGTTTGTAAATTAATCATGTTAATGAACCTGAGACATTTTGAAATTTACTGTTAATATTTGAACATTCATTACGAACATGTATCACATATATATAACGTTGGATATTGTTGTTATGGTTATTGAATTACCTGATAGGAATGTGGTTTGCATAACTTTTGTGTATTTGTTTTAAAATTTCCCTGTAACATGCATTACGTGTGTAATTGGGCGTCAGTTAACGGATATCCGGTGTATAGAATTGGAAAGATCCATACTTTTTGTATTGCAATACTGCCAATGATCAGCTAATACTAATTCTAAAACAGTTCATTATGACTCCGGATATGCACTATAGAGCTATTCATTCTGATATTCTTATTTTCTGTTTGCTCGATAAACTTTCCAACAGGATATTATTTGTATTCATGGAAATGGGGAATTAATTCCATAACTAATGCTTATAAAACAAACTAATTTATTGCATTACACTCAAAAGAAAACACAGAATGAATACCATAAAAGAATGAATGAATACTTAACAACAAATAATACAAACCAGGGACATAGGAACCGGGATAGGGCGGGGGCAATAGGAACAGTTGGAGAGAGAAAGATCATTGAAAATAAAAAAACGAAAATGAAAGAGGACACTGGCCTACTTCTATCATGAGACGGTTATTTTTTTTTTTTTGCTTTTCCCTCCCATATTTCTGTCCACTCTTACGCCACTGGAAACTAACCATTTAAGGGACTCGCGGTAAGTTACAACTGAATACATCCAAAAGTGACTAACACATGGCCGTTTTTTTTTTTGATACCCAGGTTGAGCTGTATGCATAACATATTCTACGCAATCACTAACTTTACATTTAAACAGTACTTATATAACCATAAATGTACCAGCACTAATTTCATTGCACTCTTAAATCGTTTTTTGGGTGAACCTAAAAAAAAATAATCTCCTACTACATTGCACAATACTAAATTTCAAAAAAAAAAAATGCTTACCGCAAAGATTTCTGATAGCTCACTTACCTTGCATAATACTAACATCCTATAATAAACGCCTACCGAAAAGATTTCTAATAGCTCTTACTACCTTGCATAATACATGTACCATCAATTCTATAATCAAACGCCTACCGAAAAGAATAGATAGCTCTTAAAATCTTGCATAATACTATCATTCTATAATTAAACGCCTACCGAAAAGATTTCAAATAGCTCTTACTACCTTTCAAAATACTATCATTTTATAATTAAACGCTTACCGAAAAAATTTCTGATAGCTCTTACTACCTTGCATAATACTATTATTTTATAATTAAATGCTCACCGAAAAGATTTCAGATGGCTCTTATTACCTTGTACAATACTATCATTCCATTATTAAACGCTTACCGAAAAGATTTCATGCAGATAGCGCTTATTCCTTGTACAATACTATTATTCTATTATTAAACGCCTACCGAAAAGATTTCAGATAGCTCTTACTACCTTTCAAAATACTATCATTTTATAATTAAACGCTTACCGAAAAAAAAAAATTCTGATAGCTCTTACTATCTTGCATAATACTATCATATTATAATTAAATGCTCACCGAAAAATATTTCAGATAGCTCTTATTACCTTGTACAATACTATCATTCTATTATTAAACGCTTACCGAAAAGAATTTAGATAGCTCTTACTACCTTTCAAAATACTATCATTTTATAATAATTAAACGCTTAGCGAGAAAATTCTGATAGCTCTTACTACCTTGCATAATCCTATCATTTAATAATTAAATGCTCACCGAAAAGATTTCAGATAGCTCTTATTACCTTGTACAATACTATCATTCTATTATTAAACGCTTACCGAAAAAATTTCAGATAGCTCTTACTACCTTTCAGAATACTTTCATATAATTAAACGCTTACCGAAAAGATTTCAGATAGCGCTTATTCCTTGTACAATACTATCATTCTATTATTAAACGCTTACCGAAAAGATTTCAGAAAGCTCTTCTTACCACCTTTGCACAAAACTACCATTCTATAATTAAACGCTTACCGAAAAAAATCCTGTTGGCTTATGAAACAAATAGTAGATAATTTTAAGCATCCATCACCAATGAATTTAAATTTACCAACATCCTATTATTCATATCATATGGAAATGAACATACAAATTCTCTCAGGGCATGCTATGAATGGATTTCTCGTACGTGATCGGAGATAAGTCTGTAATCCTTAACTACGACGCAGATTGACACTTGATCTAAAACATAATGGGCTTTACTCAAAACACCATTAGCCTCCCTGAAACACTTTTGTTCCGTGTAATACGATGACAAAGACAGGTTCTGTGTCTTGATACTGTCAATGAAATGTAATGTATTTAGATAGACCAATCGATGACAGTCAAGTGTATATTTCAATAGTGAAAGTTTGTGATATAATCCATCTTAAAAAAAATATTGTTTTTATTCATGCAGACTTGATTCTGAATATCCATCATTTCATCTTAGTTTGTTGATGATACCGCTTAAATGAATTCTAACAAGTATTATTTTTTTTTCTTTCGTGTGAATGGCAGCTATCTTGTTTCAACTCTGTCCCGCTGTTTTTTTTTCTTCTGATAAATGAATAATTCAATTTCCTTTTTTAGCTTTTTCTACAAAGCCTATCTTGTGCACAGATTATATTCCGGAAATTAGCCACGCCGATAGAGCTTTAGGTGTTTATCAATTCACGATGAAAACTTGATCGGCAAAATGTTTTAATCTAATATTTCATTGGTTCAACCACTGTTCAATTAATATAGGAAATATAGTTTTAAATTGCATATTTCATGAAAGGTAATTTTATCAATTCCATATTATTTATATCAAAACGAGTTTCATGATAATTGTATTTGCAATCAACATTCTGTTGAGTCAATATTATAAAAAGTCAATAATACCTTTCAATTACGTTTGTTGTCTTCCTCTTGTTAAATTAGCATTGAACTTGTTTCTTTGTCAAAGCATACACACCAAAACTTAATTAACAGCTGTGGAAATGTTGTGAAGAACGACGTATATGGATAGACATATATATACATGGCTTAATGATGATACGATTGTATACATGCTATCGATTGTAAATCGATGATGTTACATTTACATAAAAGTTTTGACAAATATTTGTATGTACTTTTTATCAGGTCTAAGCCTTATAATATTTTCGCAGTCTTAGATTTTGATTACCAAACGATATTTATTAATTGCGTAGCTTAATAATTTTTAGCTCGCCTGTCCCATGGGAGCTTTTCTCATCCCTGGCTTCCGTCGTCGTCTGTTAACTTTTACAAAAATCTTCTCCTCTGAAACTAATTGGCAAAATTTGATCAAATCTGGCCACAATCACCATTAGTAAATCTATTTTTTTAAATGTATCAGATGAACACCGCCTGCCAACCAACATGGCCGACATGGACAAAAAAAGACCATAGAGGTAGAACGCAACTTTCGTCTACTAGTATTATTCTGAAAACCGATATAAATAGAGAAAATCTGACAGGGGCAGAAATGTTCAGAATGTTGGGATTTACTGTCAGACGACTTCAAATAGGAGTTATTGTCTTTAAAAGACATGTTTTACTTTTTTTCCTTTTTTTGCCTATTATCTTTGATAGAGAGAAACTGGTAAAGAAACATATTAATATACGCATTAATAATTGATTGTTTCTGAATCCTATTTGTGAATGTGAATTTATATTGTAATTTGTATTTAATTTCATAATTAAAATATTGTTTACACTAGAAAGACACTTTCAATAGCAACAAAGACTAGCTAATACCTGAATACCTAGGTTAGGCAACACATGCCCATTCTTTAGTGTCTAATTTCTGGAAGGTGAGACAAACAATTTGAATATTTGGAGTCAAGGCCACAACGTGGTTTGGGATGTGGTTTAGGCGTGGATTATGCAAACGGCGGAGATATCGGCGTATCAAAAGCACTTTCAGTATCTTAGCATTAAAAAAGTAAAATTGTATACATTTTTAATTGCTTGATTGTTGTTTTAATATTGAACTGTCACAAATATTTCATGCATCTTCATGACGAGAACAAATTGACAATAGTCCATGATATGTTCTGCTGAGTTGGCCGACTAGGATTGAACGTTAACGTTCGACTGCAACTGGACAAGAGGGGCAGGTAAGGTAGGGACAGCATTTTTGTCTTGTAACAGGCCAAATACGGATCACTGTAAGAGTTGTTACAAGACTTTTTCAACACATAATTGAAAACTCCATACACAAGGCACCGGATTTTGAGTCCCCATTCTGATAGGACGTGGCTGTGTATTTAGACATCCCACATAGTCAAACTGACGCCCCTCGTATGGGTTTTAATGTCGCATTTAGAAGAGAACAAATCACCAATAAATGAAGTAAGTAGGTTCTGTAAAATGAGACGACTGGTATGAAGTGGAAAAGGTTTAGACCACCGACTGATAAAAAGGATATATGAAGGGACAGATATGTTGCTCTGAACTAGATCCACGTATGAAACCCTCAAATAGTTGTTGCAACGGTTCTATAATGTGCATCAATGATTTGGGTCATTTTTTTCAGGATAATGATAAATGACCTGGGTATTATGAATGATTACAATTGTGCAGTCGTGTAAAATTATTAATTGACAAAGAGGAGTTATAAGACATTCGCATAAACTTGAAATATGTATAGGTGGACGCATACATTCCATCGCTAAATTTTAAGAACTGTGTTGTTTTGTTTTTATATCTTTGTTGCTGTTGTTTCTTTTTTTTTTTTTTTATACCACCCGCTTTTCATTTTCAACATATTGGAACAGAGTTCGTAACTATTAGTATGGAAAATCAAGATCTTGAATTAACGGCATTTCCCAATCAACATTAAAATAATACATTGGAGGATTGTAAATATTCTGGTATCGCTATGCTGGTAATACAAATGTAATTTCAATTTTTCGGTATTTTAATGATGACAGGTCCTTATAAGATGAAGAGTTTTGCTAAGATACATGGATAGAATATAACTGTATAGACAATGAACTCCAACTCATATGAATACAGGAACATGCCACTGACATGACTGAGAAGAAGAGCCAACGGAGTTCTCATAAAAATTTCGACGGTCTCATTAATAAAACGTGTTACTAGAAGATACGTGTTTCTACATTGGTCATTTTTTTACAACACAGTTATATTAATTCTATTACCCTGTCGTTAGTAAATAATGGCTATACATGTGTAAAGGTAGAGAGGTCAACGGTTCGAAACCTCCCGTCCTCTAAATATTATCGAATACACGCAGCACATTTTATCTTACTTTATTCTTCAATTTTTTCCTTCTTGGAGAACAATTTAGTGAGGTATTAGTAGTTGCCTAACTGCCTCAACGGAATTTACGACTCTGATTCTGATTAGTACATGAGATCCTGTTCCCTATTGTGACATTTTGACTGAATTTGGATTCACATGGCGGATGACGAATGAATATAGGACAAGACCCTTACCCTGTCGACACTCCAGGTTTCCACTATTCTGAGAACATTCCCCCAGTGTTGTTTTGTTTTCCCTTATTTTGTTTATATTCGTAATTGATTTAAGATATTTGAACTTCGGGCAATATTTATTTTATTTAATGATTTGCCAAACTAATGACTCTTACTCCATTTGGAGTGCATGAGATTCCCCAAATATTATTATTTTCATTTGATTCGTCTCTAATCGTAATTGTTTTAATAGATTTATACACGGAAGGTTTGATAGGGATGGGGCAAACAGAGCCTCTAATGATTTTTTTGTGTACTGATTTGCAAAACTATTGACTCTTGAATTTGGATTACAGGCGATTCCCCCAAATATTGCTTTTTTTTTATCTTGTTTTGACTATATTGGTTTTTGGTATACGATATTTAAACAACGTACAGGTGTATGTTTGTGTGTTTGTGTGTGTGGAGGTGTGGTTGGAAGGGGGATGTAAATAGAGCTTCCAATATTTGTTTTCCTTACTTACTTGCCATTTATTATTGGTCTTGTTTAAAACATCTCTCTTCGAAGTCGAACGCGTCAATATTAAGGTTTCTATTTCTTTTAAGGACGGACAATTTGCTTCAAGAAAATCATATTTATCCACACAAAAGAAAGAGCTACACTACAATAGTCATCAACAACATGTATCAGATGTACCAAAGGACTTTTTGTAATACGTTTTAGATGTGGGTGTATCCGTCCCACATAAATGTCAACTACATTAGATTTTAAATGTTTTGTGTAGCTTACCACGCACGAACGTTTGATAATTTTAAATTTACTCAATAAATTTTATTTTACTGTCATTTAATTTCAAAATGATAGCATATTTGACATCGCGCTTTATCAAAATATTGAGAATTTTTAATTCGAAATTAACTTCAAAAGCTTTTGGTCTTTTGCCTACATTCACGTCATTTGGATTCTAGTGACTTTGTTTTCTCATTCGTAATCATACCACCTCTCCTTATCTTTATAGTACGTTATCTGGTATAGATTGCAGAACACAATTTATTTCCCCATAGGCGACAATGGTAGCCTTTTTCGAGATAAAGACTTAAGAGAAGTTTGTTTTTTTTTACCAAACATTGCTAGAATTAAAGAAAAATTATTAGGACAGTATTTTTTGGTCCGGTTCCGGTGGCTTTTTCTAGCGTAATTTGCCTCCCTTGCTTATCAATTTTGCACTTTAGAACACGTGTCTTATCCTAGCGTAGAAAAGACTTCTTAGTTTCGTTAGGGCTAAGGAAATTATATTCTTTTTTCTTTGATATAACGCAGAGTGCAGTACGAAGTCTCTAGTAATAAAAAAAAAAAAAAAAATACCGGGTGCACACATCGACCACTTAGGATTAGCCATACTCTTAATTCTGAATACCATGTTATCTTCATGAAATGAAAATGGCTGCGCCCATTATATTTTATGGTTGATTGTAACCTAAAGTTATAAGGATGTAATCAGGTGAAATTAAATAGATCTGGAATTTAAAATTGATACTATAAATCAGAAGAGCATTACTTAAGGAACAAAATGAGCTGAAAACATTGATAGGTTATGGAACTCCTTTTCGAGATATTTATTATTTTTTAAATGGCGGGAAAAGGCTGACTCGGACTTTTACCATATATTTAGCATTGACATTATTTGGGTCTCAAATCGCAAGAAAAGGAATCTAGAATCTGCTCAAATTTCGGTTAATGACCTTGTATGCGCTATTGGAGTCTTATATGAGAGAAAAGAGGGTGATATGGAGCAAAATAGTTTACCCTGTATCGTAGGAAAAAACCCAAGAAGTCAGAACATTTGACAAAATTCCTTAACCTGACATGACTACATCCTTAACAAGAAAATCGTGTCAAACGCATTTCAATCTGTATCATGCATTGATTTGCACGCAGATCTCATGACAGAAATATACACCATAATAATAATGATTGTCTTCATATAGTTGTTGATTTCATCGCAAACTTATTATTAATTCATATGATATGATATTATCACAGAATTTTATACGTTAGCTTAATAATCAATACACAATGACAGGAAAACATATTTTGCTTTGAACTCGAATAATAATATCTTATTTCTAAAGAACTTTCCATTTCTCTGGGTGCGAAAAATGTAGACGCAAAAATGAAAATTGTGTAAGAATATAATTATATCTGACATGAAAGAGAAAAAAAAAGACATAAAATCACGAAAATGTTTGAAAAGCAAAGGAAAAGGTATATTATGGGGCTTATGATAATTTGG